GGGGGGGGGGGGGGCTGGGAAAACACCAGTATTTAGTGGAATGTAGTGTTTTTTCATGTGCCATGTGTGGTATGGACATGGATGGGGTGGGGGTTTAACGGGGGGGGGGGGGTTCGGTCAGGACAGAAACGGGTATGTTATTTATTCTCTCATGTGCGATGTGCCCCGGCAATAGCGACGACAAGGGCCATCCATACTCGCGTGGCGATCGATTCCTAGAAAAAAACAAAACAACACAAATTTCCCTTACCAGGCTCTGGCCCCCCAGCACACAGCCCCACCAAAGTGCGTCCGTTGTGCAACGCTTGCTGGAAACAAAACAAAAGAAGGTGTTTCTGGTTGCTCGGATACGCAATCCATCCCATCCCCACCTGGAGGCCGAGCTTGTTGTCCACGTTCACGTCGTTGACGTAGGCGCTCGACAAGAAGTACTCGGTCAGCAGCGGCGTGTGGCTCAGGCACTGCACCGAGCTGTTGATGTAGCACGTGTTGCCCAGGTTCCCGAGACCCACCATGCCGTCCCCGATCACGCCTGCCTTGTTGTGGCCGGACACCTGATTCGATTTTCCCGTTCGAGAGGTGTCGCGCGCTAACGTGAAACCTCTGCATGGATCAGGAAAGTGCGCTTTGTGTCTTGGATCAGGAAGTGTGCGTGTGTATTGGTCCCATCTATTCTGGCGCCGGTTTACAGGCCTTTCGGCGTAAGTATATACATATCTGACGTATCAGCCGGGGTCTCACAAAGGTCACACAGGAGCTGTTTTCATTTTTTCGTTTTTGCTGTTGTTTGGAAGCGTGCTCGCGGTATTGCTTCGTCCCATTGGTGAAAACCTTTTTTACGTATCGCCGTATTGTAGGCTACGTTTTTCTTTCCGAATAGCTGAAGAGAAACACCGCACCAAACGGACACAAAATGACGGCCCCCGAACAATCCGCACAAGCATCGTGAGGACACCAAACATACGCCAGCGCGCACACACATAACAGACAGAGCTAGCTGTGCCGGGTGCGAAAGCACGGTTTTCCCTCGGACTCTCTCCCCGCATGGTGTTCCTGCGACACAAACAAGGAAAAATCGTCGCGGGTATCTACGCCGTGCTTCGCGAGAGGCTCACACTGCATGCCGGATGAATCCCTGCTCTCTAAATATTATCTAGCAGATAGGATGGGCAAAAGGAAGGGGGGTGAAAAAATGCGCCAACTGCGGGGGCGGGGGCGGGGGGTCTGACTACTGCTTGGATCGAGCCACTTTTTGCGCCTCGTAGATGATGTGTCCCATCCCCCAGAGAAGAAAAAAAAAGTACCACTAAATACAACTTACGGACGGGCGGGGTGGGGGTCTCTCACCGCCGTCCCTGCCTGAGCCTCCTCTTCTTCCGCCTCGAACGTGCTCTGCAGCTGCGAGCGCGGCCAAGCCCCGTCCTGCTGACTGATCTCCAGCAGCACCAGCTGTCCGTCCAGCAGCTTGGCCTCCTCCAACGTGTGCCCCGGTGTCAGAACGTGCTGTCAACCAGCAGCAGCAGCAGCAGCAGCACAAGCACCGGTAGCAGAAACCACGAAACACCAACAGACAACGGCAACAAATTACACGTGCGCGCGCAGCGGAAGTCAGAACATGCGTAACCGCAAATAAGGGAGGTGGGGGGGGCGGGGGGGGCGTACTCATTTGTTGCTTGCCTTAGTCAATTGACCATTGACCACGCGTCCCTTTCGAGACGGAGCACCGTTCCTACACCTACTAGAGACGCCACCAACATTTGGGAGCTCTTTACGTTTCTGCCACAAACTACATAAAAAATTTCTTGCACATCTTATCCCCGTCCTCTAGGGCCTCTTGTGCCCACCATCTATCCCCAATTATCGCGATCGTTTTTTCGCTGTTGTCTGATTTACCAAACTTGTCCATGTCACACCCTCTCTGTCTCATTTCCTCCTCGAGATCCTCTCTTTCCTTCCTGTACAACTCACACTCCCCAACTATGTGGGGTCTACTCTCCTCCGATTTGCCACATGGACATGTGTGTCTATCCTCCTCTTCCTCTCTCCTACGGCTGGTATACCTCTTCTTCCGTTCTGGCAAGTCCAGATCGCCTACTCGAAATTGCAATTTCAGCTTTTTCGCGTAGTCCATGGGGCCGTCCAAGTACGTCTTCATCCCTATCCCTTCTTTCAACTTCCCGTATATCTCCAAGTGGTCTTCGCTTCGTACCTTCTTCCGAAGGGTTGCCTCCTCCCTACTTTCTAGCATCTCCTTGACTTTCGTCTTGAACCCCCCGAACCCTTCCGTGTCCAACGTCTCCCCCTCGTCTCCTATCTCCTTCCAAACCTTCTCTACCACCTTGTCCCATCTGATTCCCTTCTTCCCTGGAGTCGCTTTTCCCCAATCTGCCTTGTCAACCATGGCTGGTAGTCGATCGTCCGACATTCTACTTACCTTGTAC